TTCTTTTTTCTTTCATACTTTCTTTTTTTCTTTTCCTCTCTCTGTATCTATGTCTGCCTCTCTTTCTGTGTCTACCTCTCTCTATGTCTCTCTCTCTCTTCTCCTCTCACAACACACATACCCAAGCCCTTCCCTCCTATATCTCCAATCTTTCCTGGGAACACTTTACCCCTCTGTCACCCAACACCAGGAAAATCCACTAAATGCTCTACCACTCACCGACTTTCTCCAATATCACTTTTCTCCTCACTCCACGACGAATCCTCACAATTGCTCTACCCCTTAGTCAGCCTGATTTCTCTTATTCACTTTTCCTTTTTCGTGTCCAAATCGTAGTCCGACCAGCTGGTCACTCTTGAGGTTGCAAGACCAGGGTCATTTTTTTTACTTGAAAACGTCACACTGCTCGACTTAATTTTTCTCCTCCAAAATGTAACCAAACCCAACACGTGTTCAGAATGTTTTGTGGGTTGTTTTTTTTTGGGGTTTTTTTGTTGTTGAAAGAGCTGTGCACTAGAGACATTGTTCAAACTCACAGCAGAGGTAAATATTTAACTTTACCCTCTTTTTTTCTCAGATTCGAAAAAGACTAAATAAAAAGGAAACTATAAATAACACATTTCGAAACTTGTTAAACGATTTAATCGCCAGGACCGAAAGGATTCCCAATAAACCTTTGAATAAGGGAATAATTGTATGTCAAAGCGAGCAAGAAGGGTAAAAGGAAGGGGGATGGGGGAGAGGCTGCTAAAGTATGCTTGGGCACACAGGCAAACACACACACATACACACGCCCCCCCCCCAACACACACACACATACACACACTGGACTAGATTCTACGATATGATACCCAGGTTTTTTCTTCAAATTCTACGGCTCTGACCTTTTGACCGCAAGCCTAATCGATGAGGACGATGATTGATAATGGAAAAAATCTCCTATCGCTTTGCAATTGAGGACAGCTTGGTGTGAAATTTTAAAGGAAGAAAGGACGAATCTGAGTAAAGAGATTTTTGAACAAAGAAATCAAAGTTGAGGGGGGGGGGGGTTAAGTTAAGGGAAGTAGGGTAATCATTCGTAGTGATGGGAGAACCATTAAAATTCAAGGGTCTTGGAAAGGCATGCGGATCGTGGACAGGGGGCAAATGAGATAAGGGACAAGAAAATGGTTATAAAAAAAAGAAAGTGGGAGGGGGTGGGGGGCTAATGAGATTTAGGACAGGGAGAAAAGATGAAGGAGGGGGATTGAGAGCAAATGAAGACGAAGGAAAGTGGCAAGAGGGGCAGAGACAACCAAGAAGAGGAAAAAAGAGACATGAACATTGAGTACCAGTATTCAGGGACGAAGAGATTCACGAAAAAATAACTGTTCGAAGGATAGGGGGAAAATTGGCTGAAAAAGAAGCGAAAGGTTCATCCCCTCCCATTTCCCTTGCCAAAAAAGTGTGTTGGAGAGAACCAGGTCAAAGAGATGATCATTATTTAAGTGCTTGAGCTCAGTATGATTGATGTTAGCTTAATTACGAATGACTGGGCGAGATTTCATGTCGTGGTACCGAGAACATGAATATAGTTTAAAGAGAGGAAGCTATTTTGGAAAGTATTCCGATCTCCTACGGCACGTAACATCGGGAAACGGTAATCTGCTGACTGAATGGATGAGATCTCCCTCCCCCCTGTCCCACGCCTCTGTCTATCTTTCTCTATTTTCATCTCTCTGTCTCTCTCACTGTCTCTGTCTGTCTGTCTGTCTGTCTGTCTGTCTGTCTGTCTGTCTGTCTGTCTGTCTCTCTTTCTCTCTCTCTCTCTCTCTCTCTCTCTCCATCTACACAGTTGCTACACCGTTATCAGCTTATTTTGAAAGATACGTATATCCAAGGCAAGGTTAAACTGACTATTATTAAGATTATACACTCTGCAAACAAGCATAAGAGCATCATTCAAACTCAGTTGGAGGCCTAATTGAAATTAAATATCTTTTTTCCAGGTGAAATTAAACTTTAACAACCTTGGAACCTGTTTATTCATCAAAGTGAGTGAAAAAACTATAATGAACAATGCATAAAAAGCGTAGAGAGCTAAGAGTTATTTTTTTCCGACGTTTTTTTACTTCGCTTATTTTTAGTGTTTGAGAAGAATACTTGCATTGAAGTTGATGAAATATCCTCTTGTTTCAGACCTCGGAAATTACATTTGAAATTATTTATAAGTATCTGTGTTTGTGTGTTTCTCCATGAAAATTCTTAAGCCAGGATGGAGTCAAGCGGGGTTGATTGGGGTCAGAAAACTCATCCAGTAAAATACCAAGCGCAACAAAAAATAATAGAAAAATACACGCATAAAAAATCGCGAGAGAAAACAACATTGAATGAAAAGCAACGGGAAAATAACGGTATCGAAGGGTGTGTAATGTGAAAACTATATTTGAAGAAAGTGAAGCCACCCAGAAACAAGAACTCTCACAGAGGAGACTGATAATTATAAGTGGAAAGATGAAAGTGCCCACTAAAGTTGTGGTGTCCTATTCAGACCACGAGGATGAGAATGCATTAATCAGCGTAGGCGATATGTACACTTTCAAGGACAGTACAGAATACAGGCGCCTCTTGGAAGGCAAACTACCCCCTATTAATCACAACCTTCCTTAGCACCAAGGAAACTATGGCCAACTTGCCATGGGCCGACCAATGCAGTAACTACAGATGAACTACGCTTCTGTCTATTCTCAGGAAGGTTCTGAACAAGAATATTCGCGACAGGATAAAAGATGGGGTCGACCTCCTCTTGAAAGACGAGATAGCTGGTTTCCTTAATAAAAGATCCTGCTCTGATCACCTTGTGCCATGCAGGATTGTTTCGGCTCATGAAATGTCCCCCCACCCCCATACACACGCGCTTCAATCCCTACCCATTTTACAGTATGTGAATCCCATCCATTCTAAAAGCATAGTAGACAATTCTGACTGGCTATCTCAGGAAGATTCTCACATACTATCGTGTCGCCATCATAAGTGACAACAACGTTAGAAATTCCTAAAGGGGGAGGGGGGGGGGGCTTTCTTACAGAGAGGTGCACAAGTATACCTTTAACGGAAGAACTAGAGGCAGGCATTGGTACTTTCTCTCACGATTCCCTTTTCTGCTGGCAGAAGTTGTCAACGGGACTCAAAGTGCAGAGTATTAATGGCTGAATTGAGAAGACTCGGAAGTTGAAGAAATCTTATTTGAAGCCTATGGTCCTTTTGGGGTGGGATGGGGTGGAGGGAGGATGACGATAGACAAGGATGGCTTGAACAGTCTTTTCAGTACCTTGGACTAATGAATTATCTTCGTTTCATACAACATTGTTTTGGAGTGTGAAGTTTACTTGTCAATGCAGCTGAAGAAAAGGGAACACTAAATTTCGCAAAAATTAAATAATTGGTAGCACGATCGCAAATAATAAGAAACGTAGGTTTCGAAAAGAAATCTGCAACAATACCATTTGAAACTCACGATCTTTTTCCTAAGAAGTCGACAGTGCATCTGAGGTGGAACTATAATAATCTTCTTTCAATGCCTTTCGAATAGCGATAAGAGATACGATTCTAATAGAGGGTACTTTGTTCTCACTGAGGGTTGGAAAATGCTTACGTAATCTGGCTTGTCTGTCTTGTTTGCTTATATAGGGTTTGTGGTGAAATTCTACGTGTGGATTTGTTATGGTGAACTTTATTCTTATGGGAGGACAAACACTTAGAAATATGGGTACCTCCAAAGGTGGACATGTGCGTTTGAGTGTGT